AGAGTCTCGCTCTGTCACCCAGGATGGAGTGCAGTGACCGGATCTCGGCTCACTGCAAGCTCTCCCTCCCAGGTTCACGCCATTCTCCTGCCTCAGCCTCCTGAGTAGCTGGGACTACAGGTGCCTGCCACCACGCCTGGCTAGTTTTTTGTTTTGTTTTGGTTTGGTTTTTTTTTGTATTTTTTTAGTAGAGATGGGGTTTCACCGTGTTAGCCAGGATGGTCTCGATCTCTCGACCTCGTGATCCACCCATCTCGGCCTCCCAAAGTGCTGGGATTACAGGCTTGAGTCACTGCACCCGGCCTTATTTTTTTAATTATGGCTCTTCTCAGAGAAGTAAGGTATTATCTTATTGTAGTTTTAATTCGCATTTGCCTGATAATGAGTGATGCTGAGCAGTTTTCATATGTTTGTGGGCTGTTTGTAATACCTTCTGTTGAAAGAATTGTCTATTCATGTCCTTTGCCTACTTTTTCATTGGATCATTTTTTTTTTTTTCTTGCTGATTTGTTAGAGCTGCTTGGAAATTCTGGATATCAGTCCTTTGTCAGATGCATAGCTTGCAAATATTAAAATAATGGCAAAAACCTCCATTTCTTTTGCACCAACCTTAATATAAGGTGAGCAATGAGGATCCAGTTTCATTTTTCTACATGTGGCTTGCCAGCTTCCCAGCACCATTTATTGACTAGGGTGTCCTTTCCCCATTTTATGTTTTTGTATGTTTTGTGGAAGATCAGTTGATGATTGTGGCATGAGGGCAGAGAGAAAACATGGCTAACAGAGTTTTCCCTACCTACCACAACAGGTAGTTCCTTCTAAAAGACCATGTTTTCCTTATTTATTATGTTTTATTTTTGGTCTGTCTTCCTCACTACAGTAAGCCCTTGGTCTATCTGTTCTCTGATGCATCCCAAGGGCAAAGATCTTTGTCTATCTGGTCTCTGATAAATCCCAAGCACCCAGATTGGTGCCTGGCACATAGTAGGTGCTCAGTAAATACCAGTTGAATGTATAACATATTCAGTCTGTCAGGCGCCCTGCTAGGGACTGAGGACAAGATCCCTGCTCTGCTGGGGCTAATCTTCTAGTTGGGAAGAGTCAAACAGGCAAGCAGGCAAATAATTGCAAATCCTGATAGACCATGAAGTTCAAAGAGGACGAAGCAAAGAAAGCATGGGAAGGGAGGAAAGAGGAGAGAAGCTGCTGTGAAGGGGTGAGGAGTTAGGGTAAACCTAGGAGATGAGAAGAATGAGGGGGGAAAAGCACGACCGGCGCAGGGAACTACCTGTCCAACTGTCCTCAGAGTAAAAAGCTTGGCCTATTCCAGCCGGGCGCAGGGGCTCACACCTATAATCCCAGCCCTTTGGGAGGCCGAGATGGGCGGATCATGAGATCAGGAGATTGAGACCATCCTGGCTAACACGGTGAAACCCCGTCTCTACTAAAAATACAAAAACATTAGCCAGGCATAATGGCAGGTGCCTGTAGTCCCAGCTACTTGGGAGGCTGAGGCAGAAGAATGGCGTAAACCTGGGAGGCGGAGCTTGCAGTGAGCAGATATCGGGCCACTGCACTTCAGCCTGGGTGACAGAGTGAGACTCTGTCTTAAACAAAAAAAAAAAAGCTTGGCCTATTCCAGAAACAAACAAAAAGGCAAAGGAGCCTCAGGAGATGGTGCAAGGGCTTCCGGGTTTTCGGGGAGTCTGGGGTTTATGCAAAATGTAGTGGGGAGGAGGACTCTTGAGTTTTCAGCTGGGGTGGGGCATGTGGGATTTGTGGAAAGCTGGGAGCAAACTACAGCTCAAGGGCCTACTTTGGCCACTGCCTGTTTTTGGAAACACACCCATTAGTTTTCTTTTCAGGAGCTACAAAGGCAGAGTTTAGTGAGTTGGACCAGAGACCAATGGACCACAGCATTGGAAAACCTTTTTGGAAAAGGTCTGCCAGCATGGTTTTCAGGCGATTATTCAGGGTACAGGTGATCCCTCCTGCTCCCTCACCCTAGGTCCAATCTATATCAGTTCCTGTTGACATCATCTCATCACTTCCCCCCATTCCTAATGCCACCAATCCTGCTTGGAGCCACCATCATCCCACCTGAACAAATGTAATCACCTCCTCATTGGCCTCCCTGTTTCTGTTCATAAGTCTGATGGAGTCATTCTCTGCTCAAAGCCACCAATGCCTCCCCATTGCTCAAAAAACAGACATGCTTTTCACCATGGCCTAGGAGGCCCACCAGCACCCCTTCACCTCTCCGACCTCAGATCCCTCTACTTGCTCTGCCTCACTCCAACCCAGCCTCACTGGCCTCCTAATGTCCCCTAAAAGCACCAGGCACAATCTCCTTGGCACCTGCTGTTCCCTTTGCTCAAAATACTTTTCCCATAGACCCTCCCACAACCCCAGTGACCTTTCCTCAGACAGATTTTCCCTGCTCAGTCAAGGTAAAATGGCAGCCCCATCCCTCCCCCTCGAACTTCCCCCTCCCATTGATTGTTCATCTTTATCACTTGCTGGTTGTTTTTCAGTCTTTATCACCTGCTGACATGATGGTATAGACTTACTTGCTATCTGGCTCCCGCACCAGGAGGTAGGATCCATGAAAGTCGAGGTTTTGTCCCTTTTATTCTCTGCTGTATCCCATAGCATCCTGCCAGCTATAGCGTAGATGCTGATAAAGAAGAACAAATGTATTGAATAAATGCAGGTGTCCAGAGGGGGATCATAATAATTAATAAGATCCACCCGTCATGGTTGTTGCGAGGATTAAATGACATCAAGCATGTAAAGAAACTAGAACAGGGTCTGGCACACAGCAAATAATAAATAATAACTATTAGTATTAGCATCATTATTGTTATGTCTTTTGGGTAGATTTTTGAGATCAAGACAAGTTTAGCCACCAGCTTTGCCTTATCCCAGCTGGGGTACCCCGAGCAAGTCACTTTACCTCCTGCTCCTTCAGTTTCCTTGTCTGTGAATTGGGCTCGAATCCTCCACACCCAGCAGGCTAAAATTGAAGATCAGCAAAATGCTGATTGGCAAAATGGGATGACGGTGACTCTAAGCAGGATTGGTGGCATAGGGGATGGGGAGAAGTGATGAGATTCAGTAGATGACATCAACGGGAACTGGTATAGATTGGACCAGGGGTGAGGGAGCAGGAAGGGATCACCTGTAGCCGCCATTTCTCCACAAACTAGTTATGATGATGACTTTTTATGCTGTAGCTGTTTTTTCTGTTGTTTTGGGGTTTTTTGGGTTTTGTTTTTTGTTTTGTACACATTGGCAGGGGTCTCTCACTACGTTGCCCAGGCTGATCTCAAACTCCTGGGCTCAAGTGATCCACCTACCTTGGCCTCCCAAAGTGCTGGGATTACGGGCATGAGTCACTGTACCCGACCATGAAGGTTTTTTGTTTGTTTTGTTTTTTGAGATGGGGTCTTGCTCTGTTGCCCAGGCTGGGGTGCAGTGGCAAGATCTCAGCTCACTGCAACCTCTACCTCCCGGCTTTTAACTGATTCTCCCATTTCAGTCTCACAAGTAGCTGGGATTACAGGGCTGCATCAACACACCTGGTTAATTTTTGTAGTTTTAGTACAGTTGGGGTTTCACCATGTTGGTGAGGCTGGTCTCCAACTCCTGACCTCAAGTGATCCGCCAGCCTCAGCCTCCCAAAGTGCTGGGATTACGGGCGTGAGCTACCACGCCTGGCCTTGGCCATGTAGATTTCTTTCACACCTTCCTTATTCCTTCTTCAGAAACTGAGGCCCCATGAGGGGAAGCTGGTAGCCGAGGGTCTTTTCAGGTACCTGTGGCCAAATTAGGCCCAGATGTTAATGCTCTTATCCACGGCTGAAAAGCCCAAGAAACCAAGAAGAGCTGTGGACGCAGACTGGCAGAGACACCAAGAGGGCACTGCAACCGCACTGCACAGATGAGCAAAGGGAGGCAACTTCAACATTCCCTCCTCCTAAGCACCTCCAAAAGGCCTGCTCAAGGAGCTCTGGCACCGTTCTCAGGCAACCACGTGACGTTTTTACTGACACTGAGGGCTGGAGACGGTCCCCTTTCCAGGCAGCTATGTGTCCATTTCCTAGAGAGGGAAACTGAGTCCCAGAGAAGGTGGGTGTGGCTGGAGGCCATGGGTCAGGCACAGGCAGAACCGTGCCCTGAATAAACGTCTTGGGACTCTCTGACTTCTTTCCCTCGCATCACAACGGATCCCAGTGCCCATTTGTCACATAAGGAAACTGAGGCTGGGGTCTTCGATGACGCCTGGCAGGGGTCGGGGTCACACACGGAGGGCAAGGCTGTCCAAGCCTTCAAGGTCATTCTGACTGATCTTTGAGCCCTCGCAATACATGACGTGGGCCCAAGACCATTTCCAGCACAAAATGGCGCCTCGTAGAAAAATGTAGCCGGAGTTTCAGCGCCCACCTCCACCACGGTTCAGAAGAGGGGGCGCGGGCGGCAGCGCACACCTCATTTGCATGTATAAAAAATCAGCGGATTTCGTTGGCTGGGAGCGGTTTGACCTGCACGAAACTGGGTCTGTATTGGTCGCTATCCATTCCTGCCCGCCCTCTGACCGGTCTGTCAGCCATTGGCCCATGAGAGTCTCGTGACCCACCAGTCAGGAAGGTGTATCCCTATTGGCCCCAGGGCCTTCTATCACGCGTTTAAAACCCCGAGTCCCGCCTCTTCTCGCCACGCTCCAGCCTCCAGGAAGACCGTTAGTCGCGTGCGCGACTTCCTCGGCGTCAGGGCGCGCGCGCGCGCGCGTAGGCTGGGCCGTAGCGGCGTCTCATTCAAACGGCCCAATCAGCGGCCGCGTCGCCTTCCCCGTCCCCTGCCTCTCTACTTCCCCTTTTCAGCCTCTCCGTTCTTTGAGAACCCTCCCCGACCCCCGCGGGCCCCCATTGGCCGGCCCGCTACCCAGCCCTCTCCGCCACTTCCCTAGCTTCTGACCATAGTTTGCGGGGAAGGGAGCGAGCGCGTCGAACACCAAGGAACGTGCGCGCTGACGTCACGGTTGAGGCTCGGGGGCTGAGAGGCCGCGGAGGGCGTGGCCTGCGGGCGGCTTATAAAGAGGCCGTGGTGCGCGCGCGGTCGGCTCAGTGCTGCCGGGCACCGGGGCGGCGGATTGGTGAAGGCTCTTCGCGGCGGACGTCGGAGGCAGCGGGGAGCGGAGCGGGGCCGCCGGGGCCTCTCCAGGGCCGCAGCGGCAGCAGTTGGGCCCCCCGCCCCGGCCGGCGGACCGAAGAACGCAGGAAGGGGGCCGGGGGGACCCGCCCCCGGCCTGCCGCAGCCATGGTAAGCGCGGACGGTGAGGCCCAAGAGGGTGGTCGGGGGTGTCCCTGAGGGAGGAGGTGGAGTCTCAGGGGCCTCACGATGGGCGGCCTTGAGGGATTTGAGGGCCAGCCTGGGGGTCCCTGACCCGGGATGGGCCCGAGGGCCTTCCTGCAGGCAGAGCAGGAGCTCGGGCGGCCCCCAGTCTCCCTGGCGGCGAGGGCTCCGGGCGCTTTGCGGCCCGCCCATGGGTGTTACCAGGAGCAAGGACGCCCCGCCGCCATCTCCAGACCTGAGCCGGGGTTTCAAGGATGCTCTAACCAAAAATTAGTGGATAAGGAGGAGAGAGTAGATCTCTGGCCTACGTGGAACCACTGGGGCCCAAGCAGGGTTAGGAGCGGGCTTTGGGGGTTTCTGGGGTGGGTGGAGTTATGTGCAAGCCCCCCCGCGGGAACCCGCCCCCATTTCTGTTGGAAACTCTGCCTGGGCTGGTGGCCTGAAGCATTCTGGGTGAGGGTCTGGGAGTTCAAGGGTGATTGACAGCCGGGGGCCACTGAGTCAAGACTTGGGCAGTTTCTGCATCTTTAGGCCCTGAGGGAAGCCCAGCTCTTAACACCCGCTCACCCTGCTCTCCCATCCGTGCCCAGAACTCCAACGTGGAGAACCTGCCCCCGCACATCATCCGCCTGGTGTATAAGGAGGTGACGACACTGACCGCAGACCCACCCGATGGCATCAAGGTCTTTCCCAACGAGGAGGACCTCACCGACCTCCAGGTCACCATCGAGGGCCCTGGTGAGTTTGGAAGGAAAGAGGGAAGGGGCTGCTGCTTAGATCCTCCATCACCCCACCGGGAAGTACCTGTTACAGGCTGGCCTTGTGTCAGGTGCTGGGGATGCAGTCGTGGACAGGGCAGGACGCCACAAATGACAATGAAGTACTTTTTCCCGTAAGAGTTGAGAAATACCTGGTCTCTGAGTTAGTATATCATGGGACGGTACTCTAGATTTGAAGCAAGGCTTCCCTGGACCTGCGGGTGGGTAGGAATTAAGTAGGAATGGGAAGAGAGTTCCAGGTGGTGGGAATGGTGTCAGCAAGGGCCTGGGAGGGTGGGCCAAATGATCTCAAACTCCATCCTGCTGTGAGTGTCAGGGCTGAGGAAACAAGGAGATGCAGATCGTGGGGAGACAGGTCATAAATATCCACAGGCTTTGCGGAGTGATTTAGAATTCTGTTTCATGCAAGCTACATCTCTGTTATCACCAGAATGCCTACAAAGTCAGGATTTGAGCAGAGCCTGTGAAGTGCGAAGGAACAGTCTAGTCCGCTGTGGTGACGGTGGTAGGTGGTCAGGGCAGACCTGAAAGTGGTGACAGTTGAGGGCCCTTCATGCGTTGCTGCAGGGGGCACGGGATCATGAGAATGGGAAGGCTCCCAGGAAGGCCCTGGGGCAGGTGGAGCTGGGTGCGTGGTAAAAACACATAAAGAAAGTTGATGGTGAAGCTGCCGAGGTCTTTTAGGGCTTCTAGGCCCCTGCAAGGAGTTTGTAGAGGAAGCTGGTGGAAGGTTTAAAGCAGGGGTGTGACAGATCCCTCCAAAGTTCCTATCTGACTATAGTGAGGAGAGCTGGCCTGGCAGGGGGAAGAACTCAGAGGCCAGCCAGGAAACCAGCCTTGGAAATGGGATGAGATTCAGGGGAGGACCTAGTGGGCCATGCTCAGACTGTTGATGGGCTAGCAGAGGGACAGTATTTTGACCCATGCAAGTGGGTGAGCAGGAGAAGCGTTGACTGAGGTGGGAGACTGGAGTTGACACGGTTGGATCCTTGATCTGAAAGGCATATAAGTGGGCATCTTATAGGAAGATAAGTGCGTACTCGGGTCCCTGCCACCTGGGAAGGGCCTGTGACTGGAGTGGTCACTTGGGCTGAGAAAGGGTATCCAGGGGAGTGCAGACGAGCTTGATAGTGACACAGGTGGGGGCTGCAAGATGAGCATCATCTCTGATGTTCTGGGGGAGGTCCTGTGGCCCCCTAAGAACCCAGCCTTTCTTGTTTTTTTTTGTTTTTGTTTTTGTTTTTCCTCAAAACGGAGTCTTGCTCTGTCACCCAGGCTGGAGTGTCATGCGCAATCTCTGCTCATTGCAACCTCCACGTCCTGGGTTCAAGCAATTCTCCTGCCTCAGCCTCCCGAGTAGCTGGGATCACAGGTGTGCACCACTACGCCCAGCTAATTGTGGTTTTAGTAGAGACAGGATTTCACCATGTTGGCCAGGCTGGTCTCGAACTCCTGACCTTGTGATCTGCCCGCCTCAGCCTCCCAAAGTGCTAGGATTACAGGCGTGAGCCACCGCGCTTGGCTTTTTTTCTTTTAGACAGAGTTTCACTCTTGTTGCCCAGGCTGGAGTGCAATGGTGCAATCTCGGCTCATTGCAACCTCCGCCTCCCGGTTTCAAGGGATTCTTCTGCCTCAGCCTTCCGAGTAGCTGGGATTACAGGCATGCACCACCATGCCTGACTAATTTTCTATTTTTAGTAGAGACAGGGTTTCTCCATGTTGGTCAGGCTGGTCTTGATCTCCCGACCTCAGTTGATCCGCCCGCCTCAGCCTCCCAAAGTGCTGGGATTACAGGCATGAGCCACCACGCCCAGCCTCTTGCTCTTAAGAATTCTGCAGCCTGACTGGTTCAGGTAGTGGTTCAGGAGTGTAGTGGTTCCCGCCTGTAATCCCAGCACTTTGGGAGGCTGAGGGGAACAAATTGCTTGAGCCTAGGAGTGTAAGACCAGCTTGGGCAACATAGTGAGACCCTCCAGGCCTGGTGGCACGCCTGTAGTCCCAGCTACTTGGCAGGCTGAGATGGGAGGAACACCTGAGCCCAGGAATTGCAGGCAGCAATGAACTGAGATTGTGCCACTGCAGTCCAGCCTGGGTGACACAAGAGACCCTATTTCAAAAAAAAGAAAAAAAGAATTCTCCCGTCTGATGACAGAGCTGGCAGGGCATCCACCTGCGTCACAACCGGACCGTGGAGACTGGACTTTGGGGTTTTGAGGTGCCTTGGGAGTCCTGAGTGCCCTGACCCTGTGCCCCTCCCTCCACTCCAGAGGGGACCCCATATGCTGGAGGTCTGTTCCGCATGAAACTCCTGCTGGGGAAGGACTTCCCTGCCTCCCCACCCAAGGGCTACTTCCTGACCAAGATCTTCCACCCGAACGTGGGCGCCAATGGCGAGATCTGCGTCAACGTGCTCAAGAGGGACTGGACGGCTGAGCTGGGCATCCGACACGTACTGCTGGTGAGTTCTGGGCTGGGGCTGGGCCTCCTGCCTCCTGACTCTGGAGGTCCACTGGTGTCTCAGCCATAGCACTTTGTTTAGTTTTGCTGAATCAACTCTGAAGTGGTTGAAGGTTTCCACATAAAAATCCAGGTTGCTAGTTTTCTGGAAAGATGGACAGTGCCAGACCCAGGACACCAAGTACTGTTGAGAAGTGCCCAAGGGCACCTTGCTATACAACGAGTGGTGAGTTTGTATTGTAGGATGGTTTTTCTCTTCTCTCTCTTTCTTTTTAAAAACAAGGATAGGGTAGGCCAGGTGCAGTGGATCACTTGAGGTCAGGAGTTCAAGACCAGCCTGGCCAACATGGTGAAACCCCGTCTCTACTAAAAATACAAAATTTAGCCGGGCGTGATGGCGTGCGCCTGTAGTCCCAGCTACTCAGGAGGCTGAGGCAGGAGAATTGCTTGAGCCTGGGAGGTGGAGATTGCAGTGAGCCAAGATCGCGCCACCGTACTCCAGCCTGAGCGACAGAGTGAGACTCTGTCTCAAAAAATAAATAAATAAAATAAAATAAAAAATAAAACAGGGATGGGGTCTCTTTTGTTACCCAGGCTGGTGTCGAACCCCTGAACTCAAGTGATCCTCCCACCTCAGCCTCCCAAAGTGCTGGGCTTACAGGAGCCAGCCACTGCGCCTAGCCTGTAGGACAGTTTTCTGAAAGGTGGAAGTCAAGGGTCTAGTTAGAAGCTTTTCTTTCTTTCCTTCTTCCTTCCTTTCTTTTTTTTTTTTAAAGATACAGGCTGTTTGTGGCCGGGCGCAGTGGCTCACGCCTGTAATCTCAGCACTTTGGGAGGCCGAGACGAGAGGATCACGAGGTCAGGAGATCGAGACCATCCTGGCTAACACGGTGAAACCCCGTCTCTACTAAAAAGGCAAAAAATTAGTCGGGTGCAGTGGCGGGCGCCTGTAGTCCCAGCTACTCGGGAGGCTGAGGCAGGAGAATGGTGTGAACCCGGGAGGCGGAGCTTGCAGTGAGCCGAGATGGCGCCACTGCACTCCAGCCTGGGTGACAGAGCCAGACTCCGGCTCAAAAAAAAAAAGATACAGGCTGTTTGTTGCCCAGGCTGGAGTGCAGTGGCGCAATCATAGCTCACTGTAGCCTTGAATTCCTGGGCTCAGGTGATCTTCCTGCCTCAGCTTCCTGAATGGCTGGTATTACAGGCATGCACCACCATACTTAGTTTTTATATTTTATATTTGTATGGTTTGCAGAGATGGGGTCTCATTAGAGGCTAAAGCTGAGTTTACATGTCGTACAACTCACTGTTCCAAAGTATCAGTTCAGTGGTTTTTAATAGCGATAGGGTCCATAAACCAGTGTTTCTCAGCCAGAGGTGATGGTGCCCCCGAAGGGGTATTATGCAGTCAGGAGACCAAAAAGGTTGTCACAACTCGGGGGTGCCACTGGCATCTAGTGGGTGGAGGCCAAGGGTGCTGCCCAAATCCTGCAGTGCACGAGATGGCTCCATAACACGGAATGACCTGGCTGCGGTGTTGCCGAGGTGGAGGCATCCTGGTCTAGGCTGGTGCTCCAAGGTCTCCACAGACTGCTTACAGCCTGCTGCCTCCCCACCCTTCCCACAAGCTGAAAAAAATTAACCACATTTCTAATGAGTCCCTGGGGCACCTGGCAGAGAGGGTGGGGAATTGGGGTTTCCTGCCATGCACAGGGAGAGGGTTGAGCTCCAAGGTAAACAGACCCCAAACCTTTCCCTCCCACGTGCATCGCCTCCCTTCCCCTGGGGTGTCATTGGAGGCTGCTGGGAACATTGGCACTGAGCTCCAGGCCTACTTGCTGCTAGGTCGACATCTGGGCCTGTCAGGGGCTCAGCCAGCAAGAGAGCCGCAAGAAGGGCAGCTAGACCTGCAGTTTGGGTGCAGTGATGAGAATTAGGGTGGGAACCTGCGTCCTGGTCACCATCGGTGATATCTGCTGAGCATCTGCTGAGGCAGGTACTGTGTGTGTGTCATAGTGGCCAGAGAGAACAAACTGCTGTGGCCAGTTTGCCCAGACCCACTTCAGAGGATCCAGCAGGGGCTGCCGGTCACACCTCTGCACTCCAATGTACCCCTCAGGACGGGCTGATGAAGGGTGTTAAGAGGAATCTCTGGACCACCCTTGAAATGCACCTCAGACCACCAGTCCTCGTGTCTTGCCCTCTTGTGTATGGTCCAACCCATCTAGAGTCTTAGGCTGTGAACTTGGGATTTCTGATTAAAGACAGTGAGAGGTCAGGATTTACGCTGGATCTGGAAAGATGGGGAGCTTTAGAGGCCAACACGCGGGTGTGAGTTCCTCACATCCTGAGGCCCTGGGAAGTCTCTTCCCTCTGTCCAGGCTCCAGGCCTCATTGAACCAGAGGGCCTCTGAGGTCATGCTGCACTGCACGGAGGCAACTTCAAAACCGTGAGAGGACTCAAGTCTGGGGCTCAGACAAGTAGTGGACTCCTGAGAGGGGGCCTTGGCCTTTCCCCCATCACCCCGCAAGTTCCACAGAGGACTAGGGACATTTCAAACCACTGGGCCTATGGTATCGTGTCCTTTTGGGAACATGTACTGTAGGCAGGTCACAGGAAAGTGGGCTCTGAGGGAGACGGAGCAAAGATGAGGGAGGATGCAGCATAGCATAGGTGGGGCCTGGATCTGCAGCTGAGTTGGGAGCAGAAGGAACAGCCAGAGCGGAGGGCACCCTCTTGTGGGGACCTGCGGGTCCCTGTAGGTTGCCCGACCCTCCGTGACCCTGGGCCTCTTCCCACAGACCATCAAGTGCCTGCTGATCCACCCTAACCCCGAGTCTGCACTCAACGAGGAGGCGGGCCGCCTGCTCTTGGAGAACTACGAGGAGTATGCGGCTCGGGCCCGGCTGCTCACGGAGATCCACGGGGGCGCTGGCGGGCCCAGCGGCAGGGCCGAAGCCGGTCGGGCCCTGGCCAGTGGCACTGCAGCCTCCTCTACCGACCCTGGGGCCCCAGGGGGCCCGGGAGGGGCTGAGGGTCCCATGGCCAAGAAGCATGCTGGTGAGCGCGATAAGAAGCTAGCGGCCAAGAAAAAGACGGACAAGAAGCGGGCGCTGCGGCGGCTGTAGTGGGCTCTCTTCCTCCTTCCGCCGTGACCCCAACCTCTCCTGTCCCCTCCCTCCAACTCTGTCTCTAAGTTATTTAAATTATGGCTGGGGTCGGGGAGGGTACGGGGGCACTGGGACCTGGATTTGTTTTTCTAAATAAAGTTGGAAAAGCAGCTGGTGTGTCTCACAAATGCCCCAGGACCGCTGCATTTGCCACGTGTCTCTGGGAGGTTGGCTCCCCTGCACAGGCCCTGGGTCCTTATAAAGCCTCACGGACTGCAGCAGTAGAGCCATCTAGCTCACCAGCCCTCCTGTGTGAGGATTGGGTCCCCCTCTTTGTTCTGTGGGGGTAGAGCAGTCACAACCCCTCTTTGGAGTCAGATTTCCAATCTAAAGTGGGGTGGGGACCCGGAGGCTGCTCCTGGTGGCCTGAGTGGCACTGCCCTATGTTTCTCCCTCTAGAATAATGGACACGTTGGTATGGTAGTGGTATTCCTGCTCAGGATGGCCAGGTGCGAGCAGTCTGGCATGAGGCTCGCCTCGTCTGTCTGGTTCTGGACTGGGTCAAGGTTCAGTCCCCTTGAATCATCTGATCCTGCTTTGCGCTAAAGGTTTTGCGCTAAAGATTGGTTTTTCCCTTGTGGGCAGCAAAGCCTGTTCCCACGTGTATTTCTGCACAACAGATCACAAAGCCAGTGGCTTAAAACAACACCCACTCCAGACTTCCTGTTGGAAGTCTGCACACGGGTGAGCTAGGCCCTGCTCAGTGCTTTGCAGGCTAAAATCGAGGTATTGGTTGTTCGTGTTCTTTAGTCTGGGTCCTCTTCCATCCAAGCTCATGGCTGTTGGCTGATTTCGGTTCTTGTAGAGCTAGGGTCTTGGCTCCCAGAAGCTGCCCCTCCTCGGCCCTGGCAGGCCTGATTTAAGGGCCCCATTCCCTTTGAGGTGCTCACCGATTAGGTCAGGCCCATCCATACTTAAGTGATAATGACTAAATCTCAGGGGTAAGATCCCAGCTTAGCCTTAGTTTCTGCCCTCAAGGGGAAGGGATTGTCCTGGGTGTGCACATCAGAGAGTGGGGAAACTTCCCATTCTATTAATGGGTTTAGGTTATTTAGACCAATGTCTCATTAATTTAAAAAAAAAAAAAAAGGCCGGGCACAGTGGCTCACACCTGTAATCCCAACTTTAGGAGGTGAAAAGATCACTTGAGGCCAGGAGTTAAAGACCAGCTTGGGCAACACAGTGAGATCCCATCTCTACAAAAAGTAAAATACATTTACGATAAAAATTACAAGTTCTGACCCATAGGAGGGTGGAAAACTCAAGGGCTGCTTTTGTCCTGAAGGAATTTGCCTATTCTAATAAAACTGAGGTTGAAACCTAGAACTAAAGCTCTGAAACGGGTCTGACCCTTCCTCGAGCCCTTGCCTCCAGTGAAGGTCCCCCAAGCTAAGGGAGAAAAGGAACCAAAAGTCTGCCCTCCTCCCTACCTCTAGCGGCGCCGGGAGCAAAGGAAAGACAAGGGAAGAAAACCTTTCAGATTTTCAGACCAAATTCACATCACTGGCCGTCCAAGAAATCTTAAGCTCTGCATTTATCGTCAAGCATTTCTGCATGAGAGAAGCAAACAGTCCTTGCTGAAGGCAGGTGCCTGCATCCTAGGCCTCAGGGAACCCACTGAAATAATTTAACGAAGTACATAATAAAAATAATATTTGCTCTTATCCCCTGACAGAGTTCCTAAATCCCTTGGAATCTCCTGGGTATTAATAGGAGCAGTCTTTGTTCTAATGAAGTCATCTGTGATGGGGCCCTGTGTAGCTTCAGGAGGGGGTTGGTCATTAGAGATACCAAGACAGGGCTGGGCGTGGTGGCTCATGCCTGTAATCCCAGCACTTTGGGAGGCTGAGGTGGCCGGATCATGAGGTCAGGAGATCGAGACCTTCCTGGCTAACACGGTGAAATCCTGTCTCTACTAAAAATACAAAAAATTAGCCGGACGTGGTGGTGGGCGCTTGTGGTCCCAGCACTTTGGGAGGCCAAGGCAGGTGGATCACAAGGTCAGGAGATCGAGACCACGGTGAAACCTCGTCTCTACTAAAAGTACAAAAAAATTAGCCGAGCGCAGTGGCGGACGCCTGTAGTCCCAGCTACTCAGGAGGCTGAGGCAGGAGAATGGCGTGAACCCAGGAGGCGGAGCTTGCAGTAAGCCGAGATTGCACCACTGCACTCCAGTCTGGGCAACAGAGCGAGACTCCGTCTCAAAAAAAAAAAATTTAAAAATACCAAGACAGAATTAGATAGTTGGGAATTTCAGCCCCACCCACCCCTACCAACCTCTGGGAAGAGAGGAGCTGAAGGCTGAGGTCAATGACCAACAGTCAATGATTTGTCTAATATGTCCATGTAATGAAACCTCCATTAAAACACTAAACGAGGCTGGACACAGTGGCTCATGCCTGTAATCCCAGCACTTTGGGAGGCCAAGGCAGGCAGGTCACCTGAGGTCAGGAGTTCAAGACCAGCCTGGACAACATGGTGAAACCCCATCTCTACTAAAAATACAAAAATTAGCTGGACATGGTGGTGCATGTCTAATCTCAGCTACTCGGAAGGCTGAGGCAGGAGAATCACTTGAACCTGGGACGCGGAGGTTTCAGTGAGCGGTGATTGCACCACTGCACTCCAGCCTGGGTGACAGAGCAAGACTCCGTTGAAAAGAAAGGAAAGGAAAGGAAAAAGGAAAAGAAAGAATTGGCCAGGCATAGTAGTGTGCACCTGTAATCTCAGCTCTTCGGGGGGCAGAGATGTGAGGGTCACTTGAGATGGGCATGTTGACGCTGCAGTGAGCTATGATCGTGCCACTGCACTCCAGCCTAGGTGACAGAGGGAAACCCTTCCTCAAAACAAACCAGGCACGGTGGTTCACCTGTAATCCCAGCATTTTGGGAGGCCGAGGCTGGTAGACCACTTCACCTCGGGAGTTCAAGAGCAGCCTGCCCAACGTGGCGAAACCTCGTCTCAACTAAAAATACAAAAATCAGCCAGGCATTGTGTGCATGCCCAAAGCCTCAGCTATTCAGGACGTTGAGGCAGGAGAATTACTTGAACCCAGGAAGCAGAGATTGCAGTGAGCCGAGATTGCACCACTGCACTCCAGTCTGGGCAAAAGAGTGAGACTCTGTCTTAACACCCCTGCCACTCCCCCCAACACACAACAAAATGTATAACGAGTTCGTACAAATGAATAAGAAAAAAACAAAAAATGAAACAAAAATTGGCAAAAACACTTAAGCACATCACAACACAGGAAATCCAAATGGTTACTCAACACATGTAAAGGTATTCAACATCATTAGTAATTGGAAAAATGCAAATGTAAACCAAGATTGAGGCCATCACACTCCTAGATGAACAACAATTAAATCTGAGAATACCAAGTGTTGACAAGGTGGCAGAGCACTGGGAACTCCTACAGACTCCAGTTGGAAGAGTGAGATGGTAAAGCCTGTTTTGAAACTTTGTAGTAAAGTCAAAATAACTCAGCTTATTACTCAACAATCTTTTTTGTTTTGGTTTGGTTTTCATTTACGTCGAGGTTCCCTTTGTTTCTATTTCTTCACAACCATCCATGTGGGGGTAACTCCCTCCTGTGTCTCAAGCCCAAATCCCACTCTAGAAATTCACATTCCCATTTCTTTCTTTTTGTTTCTTTGAGACAGATTTTCACTACATCACCCAGCCTGGGGTGCAATGGCGCAATCTCAGCTCATTGCAACCTCTGCCTCACGGGTCTCAAGTGATTTCATGCCTCAGACTCCCGAGTAGCTGGGATTACAGGCGTGCGCCACCAAGCTGGGCTAATTTTTGTATTTTTAGTACAGACAGGGTTTCACCATGTTGACCAGGCTGGTCTTGAACTCCTGGCCTCAAGTGACCGGCCTGCCTCAGCCTCCCAAAGTGCTGGGATTACAGGTGTGAGCCACCATGCCCAGCCTCACATTCCCATTTCTGACTCTACAGGACACAGGTTGTTTTCTGTAAAAAGATGGGGTATCACTATGCTGTCCAAGATGGCCTCAAACTCACGGGCTCAACTGATCCTTCCACCTCCCACCTCAGCCTCCCTAGTAGCTGGGACTATAGGCACGCACCACCATGCCCAGCTCTCATATACTTGAAAATACACAACAGATTTAAAACATTTGTCCCGATTACAAACAGTATAAACATACTTGTATATTCTAGAAACAATACCATACAGCACAAACGTAATCAAAACTAAGCAAGTCACAAAAGATACTACAGTCTGAATGCCTTCATACACAATTCATAAATAGGCAAAAATAAATTCTCCTGCTGAACATACATATGTTGGTGGTAAACTATAAAACTGTAAGAGAAAACAAGGAAGTCGACTGTAGTGGCTCCTGCCTGTAATCCTAACACTTTGAGAGGCTGAGGCAGGCAGATGGCTTAAGCTCACAGGTTCGAGACCAGCCTGGGCAACGTGGCGAAACCGTGTCTGTACAAAAAACACAAAAATTTTCTGGATGTGCACCTGTAGTCCCAGCTATTCAGGAGGCTGAGGTGGGAGGATGGCTTGAGCCTGGCAGACAGAGGTTGCAGTGAGCCAAGATCATGCCACTGCACTGTAGCCTGGGCAATAGAGCCAGAGCTTGCTTCAGAAAAGAAACAGGAGGGGGACCGGGCACCGTGGCTCACGCCTGTAATCCCAGCACTCTGGGAAGCCAAGGTGGGCAGATCATGAGGTCAGGAGATCCAGACCATCCTGGCTAACACAGTGAAAACCCATCTCTACTAAAAATACAAAAACTTAGCCGGGCGAGGTGGCGGGCGCCTGTAGTCCCAGCTACTTGGGAGGCTGAGGCAGGAGAACGGTGTGAACCCGGGAGGCGGAGCTTGCAGTGAGCCGAGATCGGGCCACTGCCCGAGATCGGGCCACTGCCCTCCAACCTGGGCCACAGAGCGAGACACCGAGATACCGTCTCAAAAAAATTTTTGTATTTTTTTTTAGTAGAGACGGGGTTTCACCGTGGTCTCGATCTCCTGACCTTGTGATCCGCCCGCCTCGGCCTCCCAAAGTGCTGGGATTACAGGCATGAGCCACCGCGCCCGG